GTATATGTATATATATGTATATGTATATATGTATGTGTCTGTGTGTGTCTGTGTATGCGTGCGTGTGTGTGGGTGTGTGTATGTGTGTACTTGTTTTTTTGTTTTTGTATGTTGTACATATAAGTGCATAAAAGTGCATTCGTATGTATATATGTATACATGAGTTTGCACAACGGGTTCTGTGTATGTATATACATACGATGCTGTACATATATATTCTAAACGTGATATTCATTTATAATTTTAGAGTGGCATCACTCGTACTCTTTTTGGTTTGACACCACAACGTTAAAGTAAAGGCGTATCCCACGCACAATTGTCTTCGACCCTCCGGGTGCACTCGAATTTCCTTTTCAGTTCAGCCACATTATCTGCATGTCTCGACAATAGAGCTACACTACTATCAAGCTTTGATCAGGCCTGAACATGTTATCATTTCGATCCTAGAGTTCCCTTGATAATTCTTTATTTCCACTCGGTTGAGCATCTATGGCTAGACATCTGAGAATGTGATATACTTCAGTGCATGGACAGTAGTACAGTCTTTTCCGTGTGTCAAATTCTCACTCGACCGATTCTTCATGAGGGATGTATCTGAACGAAGTCTGCGAGGACACTCAATGTATCTTCGTCACCATCCTCCAATAGGCATCACCATTCTCGTCAGTAGCTGTACTTGAACTCTTCATTGGTATTGTATGCTCTCTTTCAGTGGCGCGGCTAAGTTGCCCATTTCTCGCCCTTCAACCTGTGCCGTATGCATCCCTCTGATGCGAACTGGTTATCATCAAAATATATACGTTTTCTCATTTGCTGTATGCTTTCAATACGTAAACCAGACACTCCCATACACAATTTGAATGTGCCCGAGGTGCGGTTTCGCTCATGTCTCTCTCCTCTGGTTGTGCCGTATGGGTCACCGATATGAGCTTGTATCTAGTAGTACTAGTAGTACATCTATTCACGTTTCCTTTACGTTTTCCATACATAAACCAGACACTCTCATACCCAATTTGAATGTGCCGGAAATGCTGGAGCCTTTCAATCACATGATGGATGAGGCGAATGCACTCAGTCATCAGCTCTTTGATGGGTAAGTATGTGCATATTGGACGTGGTAGTCATGAATAGGCATGATTGTGGCAGAGACTCAGGTACCATTGGAATTAAGCGTATATCTCAATACGCGAACCTGTGTATGTATCTATGTATATCGGTACATATATGGGTATCTGCGCGCGTGCTTGTATACATGTCCGATGCATGGGGATATACACTTGTTTACAAATCAGTCCACGATGCTTGCGGCGCGGCAGACCTCCCGTGACACGAGGGGTATATCACGCACTCTCCAGTTGTAAGACCCGTGTACACATACATGAGCATAATTCAACATGTATATATGCACATAGAAGTGATGTCCCTAGCACGGTTACCGTGTGTTTCTCTTTTTGTTGGTTGTTCTGCTAGCGTATTCTTCGTTCTATTTTGGTATGATGACGGATATGGAAACGTGTATGGTAGAGCCAGGGCTGCGGTAGGTCGTGTCGACGAAAGAGGAACTCGGTTTTTTAAGTACCTCCGAAGTGCAAACAGCTTTGTCTGCAATGCATACCAATCCCAGCAGCAATGAATGCGGCAGGGGTCTATGCCAAATGACAAAGGTCGTTCATACCATACCTGTTGTACCCATGCCCCGGGCACACATTCAAACAATATGTTTTCCCGTTAACATTATCCTCGTAGTGTTGCTCACCGCGTCGCATCGTTTTCTTGAGCTCTGAGTCGTTCATTTGTTTGAAGTTTCACAAGCAGTTGCACACATGTCTACGTGTACTTATGAGCACACCAATAACGTATATACACGTCTTTTTATTTCATTTTTGCTTGCACATATTAAAAGATATACACGTACATTCCCATTTATTTACGTTTCTACATTACTTTTTACATGCACATGCAGCGCCCTCCCCGATGCGCTAGACTACACCGGCGAAGTGGGGTATGTTAAGCGGGTTGACGGGCAGAGAATAGTCAGCAGCGAAAGACAGGGAAAAGCCAACGATCTGAAACAAACTATAAATATCTCAGATATAGATACAGAGCAGGAAGACACGGACCCACAGCACAGAGATGTGGAGGATAACGGTGGTCAGCGCAGTCAAGTAGCTGAGTCTGAGATGGGTACTGACCGAGGAAAGGGGTCTAATGCAGACAATCAGAACACGGGTGAGATAGAAGGTGCGCCAAAAGAGAGTGAAGATGTTCGTGGTGATGGGGAGGAGGGTGTGAGTAAGAGTGCTCAGGAGTCAAGTGAGAGCAAAGAGATGTCAAGTGAGAGCAAAGAGACATCAAGTGAGAGCAAAGAGATGTCAAGTGAGAGCAAAGAGACATCAAGTGAGAGCAAAGAGATGTCAAATGAGAGTAAAGAGATGTCAAATGAGAGTAAAGGAGCACCAAATGAGAGTAAAGAGACGTCAAGCGAGAGTAAAGGAGCACCAAGTGAGAGTAAAGAGACATCAAGTGAGAGTAGAGAGACATCAAGTGAGAGTAAAGAGATGTCAAGCGAGAGTAAAGAGACGTCAAGCGAGAGTAAAGAGACATCAAGCGAGAGTAAAGACATGCCAAGCAAGGGTGAAAGTGCGTCAAGTAAAAGTAAAGGCGCGTCTGATGATACTGTTTCCGACTACGGAAGCAACAATGACAACAACGGTGCCGAAGCAGAAGCAGCACTCAAAGGACAGCACGACAAGCTGCATGAGAATGAGCGAGAGAGCCATGATGAAGATCTGGGGACCACAGTAAGTCTTTAGGTGTACTCGTATATATATGTATATGTATATGTATATGCATGTATATATATATATATATATATGTGTGTGTGTGTGTGT